CTGCTTGCCAAGAAGGCTAGTCCAGTTTTTGACAAAAACGCGATGTTTTACGTGGTCTTAAATGCCCCCACATTTTGCGATAGCGTCTGCGACAGTCTTCGTCAACTGAGTCTATACCACTATCTGAACACAACGGGCACAATACTACCTTTGAAGACGAGTGCAAAACAAGCGTCATTGATAAAAAGGAGCGGAAATATGGTCAAACCGCTTTTCAGCTCCCCTTCACCAATAAAGTTTCCTCGAGCTCTGTAAGCCGGCCTTCGCACCCGCTTGTCTTTCAAATTATCCTTGCTTTTAGATCTTCCAATCTCATGGATCACGTTTTCAATGTGCTTGAACAATATGCGTCCAATCTCGAGGAAGAGGTCTTGTTGGTTGTTCAATTTCTCTCTGGACTTTAAATAAATAACATAGGTTTCAGGTGCAAGCAAGAATGCAGGAATTGACCGAGGAGAAGAAGAAGAGCGACATCCTTCTGTACAGAATGTTACCAAAGTAAGAATTGACAGTTTCCCATTCTGCATTTTGGCTATGCATAGCCTTATTAGCGCCTATTCTCATGCACTGGTACATAGCCTAGATTGCTCTAACTCTACGATCGCTGCTTCTCACCTTTTTTAGAGTGATAGCCAAGGGGCTTCACGATGATCATGTTTCTTGCACATGAATTTTGAAAAGATAAGGGGGACCGTAATTCGGACCGCCTATCAAGGTTTTTCACCAATCACGCGGTAGCGCGTGCATACCACCAGTCGCACTCACTGCCAAAGCCGATTTGAACCTGGATCGTATTCCAAAGGCGGAGGCCGTTATTTGTTTCCTAGATGTCTGTTGGAATAAGTGAAGAATATAGGGCTCAGCGAGATAGCTCATTTGCCCCTCGCTGAAAACAGAATTCTATATTTTTGCATTTGACACCGTTGTGGCACTGAAAGCTTTTGTTGAAAAGCTGAGATCGCGCTGAACAACTGTTGTGGAGGTCTGGGTCCCTCACTGACTGAGACCCACCTTATTTGAACAGCTTTCTAACCCTCTTCTCCCCCACTTCACTCCAGCGATAGCCGTGCCTCTCAACAGGAAAGGGAACACGAGAAGGATGGAACCCGGGCATCGTTACTATCACACCTTCAACCCTCTGGCTTGACTAGGCTGTGCCTTGCTTCCCATGTTTGGATGGATTTCTTTCTCACGGATTAGCATGACCGTAATTACTAATTGTAATATGAGAGAACCGTGGACGGCACTATATATACCCTTTACTGCCCCACTCCTCAAGAACTGAGCCGGATTTTGATCGAAATTCGTCCATGACTGTGGATTTGGCTAGAAAGTTGTTTCGGGGGTATTTCGACCCGTAGAACACGAATATCACACCGGTTTAGCGCGACAACGCTTGGCGCCCGCGCCACAGGCGCCGGCGCTATCACAACAGTTTTGCGCGAGCAGGCTACAGGCTCACTCGCAACGAACTAATGTGATATTCATGTTCTACGGGTCAAAGTACCTCTGAAGGACAACTTTCCAGCGAATTTGGGATCCGAGATGTTCTGGCGCCTTTTGGCGCCGGCGCTTCTGACGCGAGCGCCAGGCGTTCTAGCGGTAAACAAATGTGATATTCGTGTTCTACGGGTCGAATTACCCCCGAAGGCAAGTTTCTAGGCCAAATTCACAGTCAATGACCAATTTCGATAAAAACCGGCTCAGTTCTCGAGGAGTGGGGCAGTAAAGGGTAAATAGTGCTCCGACAGTTTCCTGGTACTGAAATGGTGAGTTTCATCATGAACTGCAAACCTTCCAATTCGTTCTGTGTTGTGGACTCCCTGCGTTGACTCTGTGTGACCAACGGGCGCTAGAAAAAGATAGAATTTGATTTTTCTGCCAAGTTCATGCCATTTCAATTCAGAGAAGTAGCCGAAAAGTTGAAGCTGGGTCAGTCCGTTGAGCCGAGACGTTCGACTGTGTGACGCTGTTCTTCTCAGATGTTGTCTCATTCACACTCTGGCCAGTAGATGTACCCCACTGCAGGTGAGTGCTAGAAAACCTCTTGAACAGTAACCTGCCTCGGAGGATCGTTACCGATAAGTCTCATTTTGCGTGCATAGTCGCTGAAAGCCATACATAAATTAAATCTTTCTGGGTTGTTCGCTGGACTCCAACTAAGGCTTCGGCGTTTATGTGAAATATGGATAAAGCATCCATATTATTCCCCGGTGGTGCACGCTTTTTGACGATCTCTATACACTCTTTGACGCTATTATCGATGAGCATGATGTCTACAAGGTATAACCGTGAATACTGACCTTAGTTTTTGATGGAGAACTGGAAATCATTTAAGCTAGTGATCATTTCAGGTTGAGACAATTGGAGATGGCTATTTATGTGTTTCTGGTCTACCAAAGCGAAATGGAAATGAACATGCGAGGGATGTTGCCGAGATGTCATTCGAGTTGGTTAGAGCGATCCGTGGCTTCCGCGTTCCTCATCTACCCAACGAAAAGATCAATATTAGAGTTGGACTTCATACAGGTATATTGTAGTCTTTCGTCTCACATGTGAGCTTCGCTCCACAGCTCCTGATCTATATTTCTAACACCCTGTCACATTTTGCCGAGATAGGTGAATATAAATGGGCACACACGTCCGAAGGCAGATTTCCGCAGTCGTAGCCTGTCAAAAAAAGATATTTGCTGCTTGCAAACGTAAAGTTACACTACATAGCAACTCGAGTTTCACCCATATACAGGTTTCTGTTACAGTTATAGAGCACACTGCTTCCATTTTGGGATGTCATTTATGTGAAGAAAAATGCCGCGGCAATCACACCAAGGGGGATGGGGGTTCACAGGGGCGTGCCCAATTTCTCGAAGGATCTCTTACGGAAATACATCCATAATAACAAGCCTGCCATTTTGCCCCTTGGCGTCCTCTCAAAGTAATATCGCTTGAGCACTTACATAAATCACGAGCAAAATCTCCAGAACATCCGGAACGTGTTCTTCAATTTTTTTCTATTAAAACCGAATCTTTCTTTTTTCCTCTGTTTTTGTGGAGCGCAGCTTCAATCCACCGAGATATAAGATACGTGAGCAGTGCGTGTGCTAGTTTCTGTATGGGATGCCTCTCGCTCAATTGCCTATAGCGTCTAATCGTGTAATTTCAGGCCCAGTAGTGACAGGGGTGGTTGGCATGACGATGCCAAGATATTGTCTGTTCGGAGACACGGTGAATACCGCAAGTCGCATGGAGAGCAATGGAAAACGTGAGTCCATTGAAAAAAACTCTTTCAAAACAGTTTCAGAACTAAGTTGAAGCTTTCAGCCGGTCGTGTTCACATTTCTACCGACACAATGAAATTTCTCACTGAAGTAATTGGTGGCTACAAATGCGAGTATCGAGGAGAGGTCATGGTGAAGGTGAGATTCCGTAAAACTGCGCAATTTGAAGCTGAACCCACACAGAAGAGTGAGATGACTAGGAGAAGAAGCTAATTCGAAGACGACATCGGTGGATGGAATGGCATTAGGTGCAGTCCTACCATACCTCTTTAGTGTTCACCACTCTGCTTATAATCTTTGAGAGTAGCCAGTAGAATTCATATTTCTCTCCACTATTCTTCTGATTGATTGTCTCATGACTGTACGTCTCATGGCATTTTTCGTGACATGAATTCTGATATTTCTCAACTTTATTTCGCCCCTTTCATTTCATTTTATAACACTTTTCACTATTCCAGGGAAAAGGCGCCCTGGAAACGTATTGGTTGCTGACTCCCGAAGAACAGGAGACCGGACTCACCGAATGAGTCGTTCTATGACTAGACGACTAGAGGCAGCACGGCAATCCTGCTGCTTACCTACACATATGCTTGGATTCGATCTCGTAATTTAAAGAACATTAGAACTGCTAGCGTTTTAGTACATTTTGTTGCACGAATGGATTCCGAAAAAATACCTGTGACTTGGGCAAGGTAGGCTTGTTCAGTTGTGGTGTGTGGTACTAAAGATTTGCAGGGCACTGCAATAAAAGCACTCGTAATGCCTACCTTCTGCAAATCCTCAACCCCTATGAGAATTTCTGATTTCCAACTCGGTCCAAATCGGTGGAGTCGACACGAATTTGGAAACCAATTGGAAGCTATTTTTTGGAACAAAATTCCGCCTAATGTGTTCCAGTAGTGTTTCAGAAGCGGATTCGGCATCATGTCCTGGTTGGCGCTCATAAAGCAGCAAGCTCCGGCAATAGCCTTCATGGCGAAAGGAAACGAAAGCTGTCCTAGAACGGAAGAAAATTCTATACCGTCTATACATCGATGACTGC